GGGCACTGCAAGAGCGAAATCATGAGGCCTTGGCGCCCCCGTGAAGCAGCGTCGGGACTTCACGCGAAGACGATGAGTAATCGGCATGACAACTTGAGATTATGATGATATTGTTGAATTCGGTGTTGTATTTCGAGCTTGCTCGCGCATGCTGTGCAAAAAGTTGTCATACGAAGTATTGCGAATCCATTATTTTCTTTTACCCTGACCCCGCCGATCTGCGTGAGGGGGCCACCAAATTTTTAGACATGTGGCAAATCCCATTGTTTTTTCGACACTGACCCCGCCGATCTGCGTGAGGGGTGCCGCAGAGCTTCAGTCATATAACAAAACCCACTGGTTGTTCGACCCTGACCCTGCCGATCTGCGTGAGGGGTGCTACCGAATTTTAGACATGTGGCAAATCCCATGGGTTTGTCGACTCTGACCCCGCCGATCTGCGTGAGGGGTTTTACCGAAATTCAAACATGTGGCAAATCCCATTGGTTTTTCGACACTGACCCCGCCGATCTGCGTGAGGGGTCTTACCGAATTTTACGAACTTCCCATTGGTTTTCCGACCTGACCCCGCCGATCTGCGTGAGGGGTGGTACCGTGTTTAAACATGTGGCAGATCCCATTGGTTTTTGGATATTGATCCCGCCGATCTGCGTGAGGGGTGCCGCCGAATTTCAGAAATGTGGCAAATCCCATGTGTTTTAGGGCCCTGGACCCCGCCGATCTGCATGAGAGGTGCCACCGAATGTAAGAAGTGTGGCAAATCCCATAGGTTTTGTGGACCCTGACCCCGCCGATCTGCGTGAGAGGTGCCACCGAAGGGCAAATCCCATGTGTTTTTGGGCCCTGACCCCGCCGATCTGCGTGAGGGGTGTCAATTCCGACACCCTCAGAAATTCTGAGAGCCCTCCCGTGAGGTGCTAACCAGGGCGGTTTTCGGCTCCCCTTCTCGCGCGGTCTACAACAAGGAACAGTGAGCAACAGGAAGCAGAACTGTAACAGTGGAACTTGGAAGCTGGATCTGGTGCAGGGAACAGCAAAACCTCGTCCTACAGCCTGGTGGCCCCACAAGGGGGCCGGCGGATTATGCGTACTGAGACTATGGGACGCCCCCCCGCACGCAGCACCACAGCCCTGCAGACGACGCGCCCACGGTTGTGGGGACCAAGTGTTCGTCGTTGCGGCGGCTGCCGCAGGATGCTTGATGGCCGAGCGTTACACGGTGTTGCCCTGCTGGGGCAGACGAGTCGTCTCTTGGCATCGCTCGGACGCGTGCACCTTCTGCTCGGCGAGTATACCATCGAGGAGCATCCCGGGCCACCTCTCCAAAAACACGCGCACGAGGCCGAGCATTGGCGCGGAAGGGACGTCCGAGCGATGGCACGTGTTTCGTCCAGAGTCGTTTTTGTTCCACGACCCCGAGATTCGAGTAGGGGGTCGACAACACAATTGTTGTAGGTCAAAATTGATTTGTTCGTCGAGTCATGCGTAGAGTGTTCGTAGAAATTCTACGCATGTCTCATGGACTCGACGGACGAATCAGCCCATCCAGAAACGATTCCCATGAGAGTTGACGGGGGGAGTGAAGAAGAGACACGCATAGTCAAGCAGCGAGGGAGGCCGGCCTGGACGGCATGTTGGGGCCATCTCTGGGCCCGCCTGAGGTTCTTGAAGGATTTGGGTATCTCGGCGGCCTCTTGGGAAGGCTCCGTGGCCGTCTTGAGCCGTCTTGGAGCGGTCTTGGGGCTTCTTGGAGCATCTTGGGAGCCATCTTGAGCCAGCTTGGGCTGTCTTGAGCCAGCTTGAAGGTCATCTTGGGCTCTCTGAGGCCGCTTGGGGGCCTCGCGGGGGCCTCTTGGAGCCCTTTTGGGGCCTCTTGGGGCGCTCGAGGAGGCCTCTCGGGGGCCTCTGGGGAGCCCTGGAGGGCCTCCTGGGGCCATCGTGGAGGCGGTTGGTCAAAAGAGGGGAGGTACTCGATTTAGGCCACCCCTCGGGGGCCACGATCCTCGTGAGGGGTGGCAAACAATTTCCCTCCCAATGACCGAAAAAGGAGCCTCCGACACATCGCGGAACCTCCCAAGAAACCTCAGAGAGGGGAGGGGGAGGGTTCCCTTCCCCGAAGGGAAGAGGGGTTGTGGAAGAGGGAAGAGACCCTTGTTAGACCACCTGTCGCCCAGAGGGCTGGTGGGATTTTAGGATAAATCATCTCTGTAGTCGTATTCGAGAGATGTCCGAGACTGGTCTCCCCAGGCCGACAAAGTGTGGTGGCAGCCCGACCGCCCCATTCTATCGAGGCGCCAGACGTCCCGGAAGGCGCTATGAAGCGAACGGACCCCGATGTCGGCTGCGAGCGAGGGGGGAACATGAGAAGGGGAAGGCCTTCTCAGAGGGCGGCGGGACTTCTTAGAAGCCCTCGCGCCTTCTGAGAAGTGTTGTTTCTGCGTCTTCGGGGAAGGCTTTAGGCAGCTTTTCAGTAGTCCGGGGACTTCCGAGCCTTCTGAGAAGGCCCGCCGCTGGCGACGGCAACGGATGGTCAGTTGTTCTACAGTTTTCGGTTTCAGGATGAAGCACTGGCCAACAGGTCCAGGACCCCTTTCCGTCAGACCACTCATCTCTTTTATGCGAAGGATGTCAGGCGCATCGATGTCGGAGGATACGCGCAGGGGGGGAAGCATCAACCATCCATTGCCCGTTTGTCTCCGATGGAGGGCCCGATGGCCCACCCCGCCCAGGAACGTGCGGATTTGCTACCGGGGGTTTATCACAGATCTGTCCACGATGTATTCGCGGATTCGGGCTCGATGTCTTCCTCTCCGGAATCGGTCCCCGCACAAACGTTTCCCATCAGGATGGCGTGGAGGGAGCATCGGCCAGGAGGGAAGCGCAGCAGCGACCCCCCACGCCGGCAGGTGCCGATGTTTCGCGGCCAGGTTCAAGCAGGCGCCTCGCCCTCGTGCCCGCGGGGCTGTGAGGCCCTAGCTGGTTCGGTGAAGGGCGGCGGTCAGCGCCGAGCGTTGAGCAGCCAAACCCCGACGGACGAGGATCCGGAGGACGAGAAAGGAAGGCGACGACGAGGGCGACGACGAGGAGCGAGAGGGACGACGAGGATGAGGGGAGGAGGGAGCGAGGAGAGGACGAGGACGTCGACGAACGCGAAGAGAACGACGCACGAGGAGGCGAGGGCGGAGGAGGAGGAGTGGTGGGGGCAAGGGCGAGGGCGAGCTTGGGTGAAAAAAGGGGCTCGGGCCTATAGGGCGGGCGAGGGGCACGAGCACGAAAGCCCAGGGCAGGGTGAGCGAGGCCAGCGAGGGCGGGCCCCTGCAGCGGAGGGGGGGGGCCGAAAGAGGCACACGGGAAAGAGGAGTCTGAAACTTGGAGGGCAAGCGAGCGGACAGGCTTAGGGGCCCGAAAAAGGCACACGAAAGCCCAGGGCAGGGCGGCGAGCTTAAGGACACCGAGGGCTGGCTCCTGCAGAGGGGGGGGGGCGAAAGAGGCACACAGGAAGGAGGAGTCTGGGGCTTAGTGGGCCCTGGGAACGACAGGGCCGTTTTTTACCGGTTCCGTTTTGCCGTTTTTGTTGCCGGTTCCGACGCCGTTTATTTTTACCGGTTCCGTCGCCGTTTTTTTGTTACCTGTTCCGGCTCCGGTTCCAATCCTGGAGCCGTTTTTGTTGCCATTTCTGGTCGCCGTTTTTTTGCCGTTTCCACTTTCAAGGGACATTTTTTAGAAACGGTGAAAAAACGACCTTGCCGTTTTCGGGGCCCACACAGGTTTGGGGCCTTGATTGGGATAAGTTGTTCGAGCAGTTGCCGCAGCTCATTGCCCTCTCGACCCCCTTTGCACCCAGGCTCAGCGGTCAGGACGGCATGCTCCATGGCTCAAGATGTGGGAAAGTTGGGATCTGCCTATCGACGCAGGCCATGGGTGTCTGCATCCCATCAGTGGCTCGTCCCGTCCCACCCCATCTCGTCTTGCTTCTTGTTGTTTCCATTGATCCTCTAACCCGCGCCGCGAACTCCCGTGCACGCCTGACCTGGAGCTGATGGTTGACTACAGTCTCTTTCCCATCTCGGCTTTTCATTCTTCTCAGTTCGGGAAGTGATTGTCGCCAGAAAGGTCGGAATAACAGGAGATGGTGGAAAAGGAATCGTGAGAGGGGGAGGGGCAGGCGTCGGGGGAAGTCGTCGACGGAGCGAGAAGGGCAGGGATGCGGAGGGGGATGCGGAAGTCGACGGGAAGGCTTTAGATTGGTGTTCCTATAGGCTAATGTTGGGGCCCACGCAGTAGTGAGCATTAAAGGCTCACTCGCAGCGGTTTTAGGTGTGGCGCTCGTGAGCTGCACGAGGCTGGGTGAACGCGTAGGTCACGGCCAGCCCTTGAGCTCCTAGGCAGCTTGTTGTTGTTGATGTTGGCAGTGATGGCGCGGCATGCGTCTTGCGCGCTTGCTACTGCAGTGTGACGCTCAGCCGCTTCCTTCCCTGCACGTTTGCGCTCCGCCCAACGGCATCTTCTCCGTGCACGCGCTTCTGCGTTTCTTCTACGCGCGACTGCCCAGTTCAGTCCAATCACCTGCTGCGCCAGGTGGCATTCAGCTGGGCGCGCCTGGTGCAGAGCTCGCGACGCTGCCGCCACCTTGCTATCGGAGGGAGCATGCGCGGTCGTTCGATTTTCCCCACGCCCGTGGAAAGTTGCACCGACTGTTCGATGTATGAAAGCGTTTGTTGCCCGTCACTCTCCCCCCCCGCGTCTGTCGGGGTCTGCCTCGCCTCCGAGGAGGGGAAGAGGGAAGGCGGGCGAAGGAGGAGGAGGAGGAGGAGGATGAGGAGGAGGAGGAGGGGGAGGAGGAGGAGTGGGGCCTAGTGCCCCCAATCATGACTGCGCGTTGCTCACACTTGGTGGGTCAGACGCGCCGGCACAGCCCCGGCCCAGCAGCGCCAACGGGTCAAAGTCTTCGAAACAGCGCTGTCGTGATATGCCCCTCCGCGCTGGGCACTGCAGGCGAGGTGCGGCACCAGTGACGAGTGCATGGGCCATGTCGCAAAGACCCTGTCAAGCTCCAAGACTGGAACGTTCAGCACGTCCAGTTGATAGGAGGACAATGCCCGTCACATAGTCAGTGCCCCGATGCCATGACAAATTGATCGCACTCGTAAGCAAACCACGCCCAGCGAACTGCAAGTTCAATTCATATGTCTTGCCGAACGATGTCTTGCATCACTGCATATGGTTTCATACCTCTGCTACACATTGGTCACACATCTATATTCACATGTCTCTACATATCTCTTGCAATGCCTGTACTTTCGCGTGCACACGGCTCGCGTCGCTATCATCTTTGGCATATTCATTCTCGCCCTCATGTTCCGTTGGAAGATGCCCCTCTCGCCTGGTTGCAGTTGTACGCGCGTTCACGCGTGTGCGCACAGGTTCCAAGCATTTCAAGCGTGGCCGTTGTAGCAAAGCTCGCCGATGAAACATTACTCTCCTCCGCGCCGCAGGCGCCACACTACGGGAAAGCGGGATACGGCCAAGCAGGCGCCGTCCCCGCTGCTACCCTCAGCACGGGCCGTCCAGCTCAGGCTGGAAGCGGCCGGCTGGAGAGGAGTGAGAGGAGGTTGGGAGCGAATGAATGGGGGGGGCGATACATTGGGGTGGGGGGGAAAGGTGCCCTTTTCGGGCCCTGAAGGCCCTCTCTGGGGTCCGAAAAAGGCCCCTTTGGGGGCCCTGAAGCGCCCCTTTGCTGCAGCCCCCCCCCCCCCCTCAGGAGGAGGAGGAGGAGGAGGACGAGGACGAGGACGAGGACGAGGACGAGGACGAGGACGAGGACGAGGAGGAGGCATTTTTCCGCCCCCCATCTGTCCCGACCCAAAGAGGTAGGGGCAGGACGGATCTCGAAGGACAGAATCAAACATGCAATATCCGTGTACAGAGGTCCGCGCGGGATGCTTGTGTCGGCCATGGACCCCTTTTTTTTGCGGCGCCCCCGGCGCCTCAGAGGAGGCAGGAGGAGGACCCATCTCGAAGCACAAAGCAGTACACAGCCCAATGTTTCGGAGGTCCGCGCGGATTCCAGGCGCCCCAGGCACCGCCCCATGCCGCGCCCAGCGCGCCAGCTGCAGGGGTCCAGCGCCAGCCCAGTCAAGCCGCGCAGACTTGGACTTCCAGTAGAGTCAGCCCGCACAGCAGGGATGGGCAACCTTCCCAAATGGTGCCCTTGCATCCTTGCCTCCTCGGTCCATCCTTGGCCACTTCCGTCGGCCGCGCCCCGCTCGAGAGGCTTCGACATCCTAATCGCGCAACCTTGCCGCGCATCCTGGTGATACGGGCCGGCTGCATCGCGCATCTTGACCGCGTATCTTTATGAGCCCGTACTTAGGCTCTTGCATCTTCATCGCGCGTGTTTATGACATGGGCAGACTGTACGTTGTGTCACAGTGGGCACGACCATCAAGGCACCGAATGCTTCTCGTGCGGGCACCCTGGGGTTTCTTCGCTCCGGGCGCTGCGCGGCGATGACTTCCCACGGGTGTTGAAGGAGCTGCCGCGTCCAGGGTGCCTTCCGGTTTCCCTCCAACTTGCACGTCGCGCTTGCGGGTTCTCGAGGCTGCAGCCGGCCCTGTATTGCAAGGATGCGCGGTAAGGATGCAGGGGCCTTGGACGGCCGTGTCGACATGGTTCGAGCGGGGCGCGGCCAACGAAGGTGGCCCAAGGATGGATCGGGGAGGCAGGGATGCAATCAGGAGGGAAAGAAACACACAGACACAATTAATCGTCGATTCCCCAGAAAATACGGGAAAATACGGGAAGTGGGGGGGAAGACGAAAACCCAGAAGAGATGGGAAACTATGGGACATCTGTTGATTTGCGTGTGTATGTATTTATCTGTGTGTCCCAAGGCCCCATTCATGCAAGGGGTACCCTTGGGAAGTTTGCCCATCCCTACCACGCGGGTTGACTGCACGTGAGGGGGGGGGCCGAGCGCGGGGCGAGGCCCTCTGCCCCCCGGGGGGCGCGACGCCGATCCCCCCTGGAGGAGGCGCGAGCATGGATCTACAGGCAACCCGCACAGCAAGGACGGGCAGCCCTTCCAAGGGTTATGATGCCCCATCATCATCATCGCCATCATCATCGCAATCATCGGCTTCATCATCGTCATCATCATCATCATCAACGTCATCTTTTAATCATCATTACCACATGATGATGACGATGACGAGGAGATGATGATGGATATTATGATGACGATGATGATGAGGAGATGGTGATGATGATGGCGATGACGCGGACGATGATGAGGATCATGACGACGATGATGGCGATGATGATGACGATGATGCAAAAACCGAGTGAGTCAGTTGAGCTCCAAAACCCCGCCCTAAAGACAGCCAGCCAACCTACTTTAGCCTCGATCGCCAGGGAGAATTTCGAGCGCCCCAAAGAAGTACCGAAACTCAAGGGTTCTCACGTGCCGGGCCCTGGGAGACACTCGCCCGACACTATTTCGACACTCTTTTGACATTTTTCCGGATGCTCGAAATCATTTCTGGGATGCGGTCCTTAAGTAGGACGGGGACAACATAATCCAAGGGTATACCCTTGCATCCTTGCCCCCTCGGTCCGTCCTTGGCCACTTTTGGCTGTCCGCGCCCCGCTCGAGAAGCTTCGACATGGGCGTCCAGGGCCTGTGCATCCTCAAATCGCGCATCCTCATGATACAGGTCGACTGTGGGCGCGTCGTCATCGTCGTCGTCGCCCCAGCGGGCTGGCGGCACCGGCCCAGACGGTGGACCCGAAGTCGGGAGGCTCTGGGGCGCCCCACGTTGCGGGAGTGTGCGTCCCACACGGGGCCCCCTCCCCCGTGCAGACGCGGCGCGCGCGCTGTCGGTGGGGCGGCGGTGGCCCCACGTTCACGAGAAGACGTTCTCCGATCCGTGGCTCCGGCGCCCACGCGCAAGGTCCGCTCCTCCGTAATCCGTGCTCGCGCGGTCTGACTCCCTCGACTAGGCGTAAGAGTGACCTTTCGCCGGATTGACCTTTGGGTGCGGGCACAGGTGGGCCCCCAGATGGCTGAAAACGACGCATGAGCAACGGCTTGCGCGCCCAGGTTTGGTCCCCACGCGGCCCCCAAAAAAGCCGCGCACCAAAGGTCACTCTTACCCAGGGTCACTCTTGCGTGTAGCCGACTCCCTCTCGGCCTCCTGGATGGGGCCTGAGCGGATGGGGTCGGAGGATCGCGCCGCATCGCCGATGCATCGCCGCTGCGGCTCGATGAAGGGCCCGATTTTTTGTTCACGTCGAAGTCGCCTGCGCATGGCCGACGTCGACGATGCGTCGCCGGTGCATCCCCGATGCATCGCCGATGCGGCGCGATCCTCCGACCCATCTACTCCGTCCCCATCTAGGAGGCCTCTACTCCCCCCCGGACCCTTGCAGGGCAATGGCACACGCCGAGGGAGGGTGCTCGCGGATCTTAGGCGCCGCTACTCCTTGCTGCCGCGCCCGCCAGCGAGCGGCGACCGGGCCTGCTCGGCGGGAACGGCCAGGGCGACCCATAGCCGAGAGGGAGTGTCAGGAAGATCGAAATTGGTACGGAAAAAGTGGGTACAAAGACCAACAGCAGATTTTGCTCATTCTGGACAGGGTTCGCCGTCGGCGTCGACGCGGACGTTGTCCAATTGAGACACAGCAGCGGCCGCTGTTGGTCTTGGACAAAGTGTGGTGTTGGGCATTGTGCCCATTTTGTCCGTACCCACCTCGGGCGTCCAGAATGGGGGGGCTCTCGCGCGGAAGCGCGTCGCACCCCCAACGCCGCGGCGCTAGCCACGTTAGCGGTCTGCTCCGCCCTTCTCGGCATCAGCCTCGCGGCGCGCCTCTCGGGGCGGTTCCTCTGTGGTGGTCTCCGAGATCGGCGCGTCTTCTAGCCAATCTCCAGTCGGGCACGTCCATCTACAGGGAGAACGTTCAAACATAATTCAAACAAATTGTCTGGGGACGATATGTTTTATGATTTTCTGCAATTTTTGATTATTTGATTATTCTCTGGCTTTTTCCAATATCTGCCTGTTGGAGGACATGCCCGACCTAATTCTAGCCCGTCCCGCGAGGCAAGTCCTGGACACAGAGTGACGCCCACGTGTGAACGCCGCAGCTTGCCTAGCACTCGATCTTCTGAGCCTTGTCAGCTTGAGCGCATGCACTGAATGCTCTCAGGCGCATTCGCTGAGTTGGCTTCAAGCTGAATCAGTTTTAAGCCCACGCAGCTTCACGCGGCTGTTGGCAGCACGAACGGGCGGCGCTTTGTATTTTCCGCCAAGCTGTTTTTCCATAATGTTTCACTCGGGCGACTGTTTCACTTACGCTCTGATGTTCACCACGCTGTCTCCCAAGGAGGCTGCTTGGTGGCTGGGTGGTGGCGGAGGATGAGCAGGATCAGGAGAGGTACACCTAAACCTAAGTCACGGCCACGGCTTCATCTCAGAATTCGGCAGGCCTCCTTGATGGCCAGATTCCCAGGTGCAAGTGCAGCTCCCATTCTCCTCCCTGCATTTTCCAGCGGGGGCCTGTCTGCGAAGGTGCTGGAGGAGCGCCGGAGGATTCTTGGAAGAGTTTTGAAGGGAGGACGTCAGCGAGAAGTTGGCGAAGTATTTGTCGAGGTCCACAGTAAGGACGATGTGCTGAAGGCCACCCCTGCATCTGTGCCTCTTCGGCCCATCCTCGATCATTGATTCTGGAGAGCTGTGGGCCGTGCAGCTGCTTCCGCTTGGGCGTCTGAGGGACATGCACTGTTTATCTGCATCCTCGCCATGGATTTGGATGGAGGCGGGAGGTGCGATTTCGACTGCAGGAGCGACTTCTCCGAGGGCCAGCTGCTTTGATGCGGCCAAGGGGTTACGGCATGCCCGGGGGCGGTCGCAGCGCCCGAGTGGACAGCGATCGCTTCACACGCGTGCTAGACACTTCGCCTGCGATGCCAAAGGTGCCCTGGAGGAGCAGTGAAACGGAGGATTCTTGGAAGAGTTTTGATCAGACGTCAGCGTTGGAGAGGTCAGTAAGGACGAGCTGAAATCTGTGGGGGAGGAGAGCTGT